CAAACGACGTGGGCACATATTTCAACAATGAATGCACCACGGTGGATCTGCGCGGGCTTCGTTCTCTAAATAGAAATAGTCAGATCCGAAAGCTCTCTGTCTGTGACCATGAGGTACACTGTCCGCGAGTGCAGGAGAACAGTGGCGGAGCCAGAGGGGTAGCCAGGGTGGCCACTGCCACCTCTAAAAATACCCTTGCCACCCCCAGTGCCCCCCTCGGAAGACGGCAATGTAATAATGTTAATCTTGAGAATCTTCCGCACTTTTTCCGCCAAAAACTAAAAATTCCCACGGCTTCCCCCGTCTGTGAAGGCACCCTGACTCCGTGTGGAGCCAGTGCTGTATGCTAATGCTTTGGGTTGTTGGACTCACACATGTGCCCAAGTCGTGATGAAAACAAAGAGGTAAGTTAGCGATGCAGAGCCAACCGTTTACATTTGACACAAAGTATAGACACACGTACTGCAGCGCATTACTTGTTCAGTTTGTAGTACATTTAGTGTGTGTCTGTGCGTGCCTGTATGCGCGCCTGTGTGTGCCATCGTGTGTCTGCGTGCCTGTGCGTGCCATTGTGTGTCTGCGTGCCTGTGTGCGTGCGTGTGTATTCTCCATTAATAATTGCCCATCGTATCATCGCCCTCTTCCCTTTAGTGTAAACATTAAAAGAAAAGGAGGAGACATTGCGTCTTTTTTTGTCAAGAAAAGGCCTGTAGATCAGGATGATGAAACCTGAAGGTCAGACTCGGAGGCAGTATGTTTTGAGATGATGAGGAATTTGTCGTGTTGTATTAAAGTATAGCTTATACAATTCAGTTTCAGAGAATGAGAGGGAGTCGCAGACAGGTGTAGGATTGACTAATGGCAGAATTAGAGAGGCGTTTTTTCACACACAAAAAAAGAAAAAAAAAGCTAAGATTATGGTGGAGTGCAGTCGCTTGACCCCAAAACATTTTTGAAAGAAGAGCCCCTGTTTTCATTTGGCAGAACCTTTGAGTCAGATATAGAGGACGTTAAGCATGAAGTACGTCAAACTAGGCGGCTTCTTGGGAGGAAAAAATTGATTAGAGAGTGCCTATTGGACTTCCTTGTCCTTTTGGAACGTTTGGAAAGTGTTTCATGAGCTTTTGAGGCTTGCAAAGGTCTTTTAAATAACTGTCAGTACTGCGTCTTGTGAAAGAAGTTTCTCTGCCCTAAATCTTATTAAAGACCATCTCAGAACGACCATGGCAGATGATTGAGTCATCTTGGTATCCTCAGTGTTGGGTAAAGGAGGGCTCAGGGCTGAATATGGATGAGTTTGTCAACATCTTTGCTGCTTTACACCAGAACCACAGGAATTTGCTAAATTTGTTAAAAGAAAAATGAAATGCAATGTTTGAATGATGTCATTTTTCACTTTTTTTGTTCAGACTACTGTTTAAATACACTTTTTTGCTTTGTAGTTTCCAAGTGTGCTCTCAGTTCACTTTATATAAAAAATAAACATAATATTAAGATAAAAATGTATCGTTTAGCCAGTTTTTGTGTGAAATAAAATTTCTGAATAGTATAAATGTGGACCCCTTAAAAAAAAGCTTGCCACCCTCTGTTTAAAAGTCTGGCTCTGCCACTGCAGGAGAAGCGCTTGTCACAGAAGTCTGAAGCTGCGTTTGATAAAGAACAGGACTCGGTCCAACAGCACCCTGCACATCGTGAAATCGGTCTTGCCGCGCGGACTTGCGAGCGGTGTCTCACTAGCTAGCACTACCAGCTGCCGTGTGTGCGTGGAGCCACAAACACACCTAAAGCGCACGCTCACATGTAGGGAAGACCAGGTCTTCAGTTCAACACAAAGTTGCCTATTGCTGAGTAAAGTTGGTTTTGTGGCAATATGACTATCATTATCTTAGATAATTATAATTTGGGTTTTATTTTATAATGCCATATGACTAAATAAAACCATGAATAGACAAAATCCTCTTTGAATATTTTGTGTTTTTAGTGCAATTCACCAAATATATTCCTCAATCTACTTCATGATCAGGTGAATATTGAACTGAATCATAGTTGGTTGAAGCTGGAGTAACTCAAGGGGTAGGAAACATAAGTTTCATTTTTACCTTTTTGAATTGTGTATATCTATTTTTCTATGTTTCTTCTTTTTTAGTGTTGCACAATTAATTCGAAATAAACACTACTACTAACTTAAAGTGATTGTCTGGAGTTTGTCAGAAAGAGAGATAGAGAGGTACTTGATTTGAAAAAAACGACACAAGCTCCCTCCCCCTTCCTTTCTGATTAGTCTACACCTACGTTTCCGTAACACTTTGAAATGTTAACCAGAGAACACATTATACATATAAATCATTAATAAACATGCACGGAGGTTTTCAGAATTATTTGTGAACGTTTTAATGAAAAAAATAATGTTTTTATGCACAAAAAAAGCGATCGCGGCAAACCAGGAAGTGCTATTATTATGAATTGCACATTATAGGACACATCTGCAGAGGATCTGATTATGGATATAGGTTCAGTATATACATGGGTAAATCAGTGCGGATGTTCAGAATTCTTTGTTCAGTTTTCATGTAGTTCCAGAGCCTAATAGAGGCTTGATTCGGAGGCTCCGCAAAAACAAACAACTGAGCATGCGCAGCTACGAGCATCAGCGCCGATGATTGACAGCCCTTGGCATGACTCGATTGGTTAACCTCGACGGCACCGTGGCTTCTGAACTATAGCTAAGAGCAGGGAAGGCGGGACTTGCCCGTAATATTATAATTAATAAAATGACTTATTTTATATCAACATTTAAGGCCAGGAGGTCAATTTAACACATTTCCTAAAATTTGTAATTCATTTAGAGTTACAGACTATCACTTTAAATAAATGGGATCAGCAGGTGTATATAGGAGGTGTGTACAGGAGGTGTGTACAGGAGGTGTGTACAGGAGGTGTATACAGGAGGAGTGTACAGGAGGTGTGTACAGGAGGTGTGTACAGGAGGTGTATACAGGAGGTGTGTACAGGAGGTGTATACAGGAGGTGTGTACAGGAGGTGTATACAGGAGGTTTGTACAGGAGGAGTATACAGGAGGTGTATACAGGAGGTGTGTACAGGAGGAGTATACAGGAGGTGTATACAGGAGGTGTATACAGGAGGTGTGTACAGGAGGTGTATACAGGAGGTGTATATACAGGAGGTGTGTACAGGAGGTGTGTACAGGAGGTGTATACAGGAGGTGTGTACAGGAGGTGTATACAGGAGGTGTGTACAGGAGGTGTGTACAGGAGGTGTATACAGGAGGTGTATACAGGAGGTGTGTACAGGAGGTGTGTACAGGAGGTGTGTACAGGAGGTGTATACAGGAGGTGTGTACAGGAGGTGTATACAGGAGGTGTGTACAGGAGGTGTATACAGGAGGTTTGTACAGGAGGAGTATACAGGAGGTGTATACAGGAGGTGTGTACAGGAGGAGTATACAGGAGCTGTATACAGGAGGTGTGTACAGGAGGAGTATACAGCAGGTGTATACAGGAGGTGTGTACAGGAGGTGTATACAGGAGGTGTATATAGGAGGTGTGTACAGGAGGTGTATACAGGAGGTGTGTACAGGAGGTGTATACAGGAGGTGTGTACAGGAGGTGTATACAGGAGGTGTGTACAGGAGGTGTATACAGGAGGTTTGTACAGGAGGAGTATACAGGAGGTGTATACAGGAGGTGTGTACAGGAGGAGTATACAGGAGGTGTGTACAGGAGGTGTATACAGGAGGTGTGTACAGGAGGTGTATACAGGAGGTGTGTACAGGAGGTGTATACAGGAGGTGTATACAGGAGGTGTATACAGGAGGTGTATACAGGAGGTGTATACAGGAGGTGTGTACAGGAGGTGTGTACAGGAGGTGTATACAGGAGGTGTGTACAGGAGGTGTATACAGGAGGTGTGTACAGGAGGTGTGTACAGGAGGTGTATACAGGAGGTGTGTACAGGAGGTGTGTACAGGAGGTGTGTACAGGAGGTGTATACAGGAGGTGTGTACAGGAGGTGTATACAGGAGGTGTGTACAGGAGGTGTATACAGGAGGTGTGTACAGGAGGTGTATACAGGAGGTGTGTACAGGAGGTGTATACAGGAGGTGTGTACAGGAGGTGTGTACAGGAGGTGTATACAGGAGGTGTGTACAGGAGGAGTATACAGGAGAGGAGGTGTATACAGGAGGTGTATACAGGAGGTGTACACAGGAGGTGTGTACAGGAGGTGTGTACAGGAGATGTGTACAGGTGTATACAGGAGGTGTGTACAGGAGGTGTATACAGGAGGTGTGTACAGGAGGTGTGTACAGGAGGTGTATACAGGATGCGTGTACAGGAGGTGTGTACAGGAGGTGTGTACAGGAGGAGTATACAGGAGGTGTGTACAGGAGGTGTTTACAGGAGGTGTGTACAGGAGGTGTGTACAGGAGGTGTGTACAGCAGGTGTGTACAGGAGGTGTATACAGGAGGTGTGTACAGCAGGTGTGTACAGCAGGTGTATCCAAATGTGAATTGTTTTCAACAGAAATCTCTCACTCAGAGTGTTCCACGTGCCGCTTAGGGGGTTTTGTGTTTTTTCTCTGACCCATGAAAAATTAGAGGGAACATTGGTCTTGCCCAAGGACACAACGACAGCAGACAGCAGTGGGAGTCGTGAAGTAGGTCTCATAGTGGGCTCGGACCCATAACCTTCAGGTTCAAAGGCCACTGCTCTAACTGAGCCACTGTCGCCTCAGACTGTGGCTTTTCAGACAGAAAAGTGAAAAAGAGAGAACCACCCTCACTCACCCCATCAGTTCTCAGCCAAATGAGTCAAATTGTGACTCACGGGCTCTATGAGAAAAAGACAGCATGTTGTAGTCGGAACACTGGTTTCTGTGAACGAGTTTGAGGTGGAGAGTTCTGACAGAAGGGTCGGGGGAGCTCTGCCCTCACCCTTCTACCCCACACACATAAAGCACATTTGTAACTGAAACTCTTACCCCGCGTCGCTGCTGTTCCCACAGATTAAAGCGTCTTTGGCCCCCTCCACTTTGTAGAAATTTTCTGAAACAGAAAATCAGAACATTTAAGTTTAGTCCTGAAACTACAGTACCCAGAATGCTTTAGTCCTGTGATTGTACATTGAACCATGTGATTGGCTGAACGTACGCTCCTCAATACAGTAAGCTAAATATGTAAGGTAATAGTTGAGCTAACTTCAATTTGACGTGTTATTTCAGCTCAATGGAGACTAACCGTGTCCAAAGGCTCATGGGATGCAGAGTTTATCTAATAAGAAGATAATAAGTTCACAGCCTTGATCTACTGCTACTGCTGCTGCTGCAACTGCTGCAAATGCTGCAACTGCTACTGCTACAGCTACAATGTGACTAAAGCAGCCTTGTACTGGTGCCTTTTCATCATCATGATGTCTTCTTTTTAGACTGTGTGGAGTAAAGCCTGGTTCACACGAGACAATTTAAGAATTGTCGGCCAATTTTTTTCTCCGTGTGAGACCCCACACACAGAGATAAAAAATCACAGGTCAAACAATTTTGCTCGTACAGTGTGTGGTGCGCAGCCACATGGCAAAATCACGCAAACCACACACGTCACACAAGAATCGATTTCACCCCCGAGCATTCACAGGTCAGACGGAAATCTCACAACATCTCTCGAGATCAAGCGTGACTTCAGAGTAAACAGAGTGTGCGGGCCTCTCCGCTTCACACAGCCTATAGAGACTCTCGTCTGACCACAGCAGCCACAGACACCATGAGGACAAACACATACGTGTGGATTTTACTGCTCTACAGTTCTCTGGCCCGTACTGTCTGTGCTGTTCAACAATACAGTTTGTACGGACTACCTGTGAACGCACCACACACACTGCTAGACATGAAACTTTACATATGCGCAAACCAACAAGCACGGCTGCAGTAACGGCTGCATCAACACGTCTGTACTGTATTAGGACAGAGTGCAAAGTAAACGTACAAACACAACCCATCAGTCTGATCATTTAGTACTAATCCCGTCCGAATAGGGCTTATGCCAACACTACCTGTGCAGCAGCAATTTCTGCCCAATTCCTCTCCTTGTCATTTCGGTGATGATATTCTTTACACGACACGTCATAGATACATACTATCTGGTGCGCCATGCCGCTGACTGTTTTGGGTTTTCTACGGCGTTTCCTCACCGGCTTGTCACCTCGTCTTCTGATTGGCTACACGCTGCAGTCATGACAACGCGCTCGTCTGTCCCCGGGGGACACCACCCACAAAGAGAAATCGGGCCGAAACAATCCAACATGTTGGATATCCCCGATTTGAGATCGGAGCAGTCCCAAAGTCCTTCCGAGCGACGAGCACAGTCTTAACACACCATACACGACAAGAAAATCCATCCGATTTTTTGTTACGATATTTGGAGCGTTCCAAAATCGGCCTAATTATCCTGCCGTGTGAACCAGGCTTAAGAGGACAAATGCCCACAACTACTGTCTGTGAAACGTGCTACATAAATAAAGAGGACTTCCTTCTCTCAGAACTCAGAGCAGCGGTAGACGCAGCTCTATATTTACTTTTAAACATGTTTATTTGTACTGTATGTGTTTCGTTCATTAAACATTCCGACGTCCCAGCTGACGTCCCAGAGGGCTGAGGTCTCAGAGGACGTACACATACTGTATGTAGATTTAGAACATCAGCTTGGATCTCAGAGTGCTTTTAATCAAAAAGTAAATTGTCAGTGTGGACAAATGCAGTCAGTAGCTGGATTCCACACTACAGGACACAGAGGGCCACATGAGAGGGCACTGGGGACCTCATTGGGCCTGAGTTTGGGCATGTGTTGGACAGAGTTAGACTTTTCAGATGTGAAGGATCGACTGAAGCAGTGTTTGCTTCCGGTGCCTGGCAACTAGACAAGGAGGCGGGACTACAGAGTCAGGAGGCGGGACTACAGAGTCAGGAGGCCGGACTATAGAGTCAGGAGGCCGGACTACAGAGTCAGGAGGCTGGACTACAGAGTCAGGAGGCCGGACTACAGAGTCAGGAGGCGGGACTACAGAGTCAGGAGGCCGGACTACAGAGTCAGGAGGCCGGACTACAGAGTCAGGAGGCTGGACTACAGAGTCAGGAGGCCGGACTACAGAGTCAGGAGGCCGGACTACAGAGTCAGGAGGTGGGACTATAGAGCTTTCCTGCTCACTCCTAAACTGCCTTTTGAATGGACTGCAGGGGCAGAGGGGATTAGAGGTCATCGTGGATCTATATCAAGGGCCTGGTCCAGACCTGGTCCAGACCTGGTCCAGACCTGATACAAACCTGATACAGACCTGATACAGACCTGGTTTATTGGAGCTTTGGGAAGTGCTTTGTGGGCGTTGTATCATCGCAACATTGATCTGCGCGGCTCCTGTTTCAGCTTTTAGCGATCAATACGGCGTCCACCGAGGGACAATTCACAAACAAACAGCCCCCCTCCCTCTCTTCTACCTCACCCCCCACTCACTTCCCCCTCATCCCTCCTCTCTCTCCCTTTACTCCTCTCTCACTCACCCCTGTCCCTTTATCTCCATAAATCAGGCTAAGACCATACTTTATGCAGGTCTAAGGAGAGAAGCCCTGTCCTTACCACATCCCCTCGTTCCCTTGTCCCTCCCTCGTCTCCCACACGTCTCCCTCATCCTGCAGAGCTCACCCTCAGAGTTGATGAAGTTCTCCACTGAGGCCCAGGTCTTGTTGTTGCAGTAGAAGACCGTGGTGTCGTTACTGAAGTCGTCCAGTGGAGGGAGCCCTTCTGTGGACGGCAGCAAGCGGGGATCGAAACCCGGGGGGAGGATGAGGTCCGAGGGGTGCAGGTTGTGGGGTAACCCAACCGATGTTACGTTTGCGTGGAAGCAGAGAGTGGTGGAGCGCACACACTTCTGAGGAAGAATAGGAGGAAGAGGACACATTCATAACGGAGCTATGTGAGGGGTCTCGTACAAACAAGACAAAAGAAGACCACGCAAAAAAAAGAAAGTGAAGAAGAGCAAGAACCATACATATACATATAAACGGAGTTGTAGGGGGAGGTGGGCGAGGCTACTTCCCGTTTATGGAGATGTGGGCGGGACTTACTTGTCGTAGGTTGCCCATGAACAGCTGCAGTCCAATCAGAGCGAACACACTGAGGCAGAACACGGTGAGGATCATGACGTCGGCGAGTTTCTTCACCGACTGAATCAGAGCGCCCACGATGGTCTTCAGACCTGAGGGCGGAGGATAAGAAAAGGAAGGTTTAGAGGGGGACGGGTCAGAGGTCAGAGAAGGGGGGGTTCAGAGAATAGAGCGGTTAGAAAGGGGGGGGTTAGAAAGGGAGGGGTTAGAGAAGGGAGTGGTCAGAGAGGGGTGTTCTTGAAGTTAAGTCCGTCTTTGCAGGTTCTATATTTCAAACAGAGCTGTGTGACTCTGTTGCAGGTGATGACCTCATTTGGGTTCCAAATGGTATAATTTTAAAGTTCTGGAATGTTTAATACTTATTAATGAACAAAACACAAACACAAAACAAATCAAAAATGTCCAACAAACCCAACAAATAAGTTGAAAATTACCCCAGGTCAAAATTATAAAAACAATTACTGATAAAGCTAGGAATAAAAACTATACAATAAAAAATAAATAAAGGCAGAAACTGAATTTAGAAAACAATAAATAAAATAAAATAATAAATTCACCCACACAATAAACCTGCAGTCATCAGTATTATCAGCTCTGTTTTGAATATCGCTCACCCACTTCCACCAGCTCGACTCGACTCGGCTCTACTCTACTTTACTCTACTCTACCCCAATTGGGAATGTTTCAACTGGTCTTGTTTTGGTCCTTCTTCAGTCCCCCTTGGTCCTGGTTCAATTCAGACTGAGCTGATGCTTAAGTGTTTTGACAGTAATTGGCCAATGAGCTGCTGGAAACCATGGCTACCAAGGAATTTACCCAGGGACTGGTTTGTTGTGGGGTAGAGTAGAGTAGAGTAGAGCAGAGCTGGTAGAAACGATCTCATGATAAACCGGCCATTTTGAGACACGTGAAAATCTGAACATGTCCTCGTCTGTGAACAAATTTATTTAAAAATAAACCAAGCTTTGTACAGGTGTGGACCATAGACTGTATACAGATAGACAATGCTAACCATTGATCTATTATAACAACTGGATAGGGTATTACTAGCTTGGAGCTGAAGGACCCATGTGCTCGGGGATTCTCGCGGTACTGCAAACTAAACCAGACTAAATTCACGTGGGCTACCCAGAAATTTTCCCCATAGGACTCAATGTAAACTATAACGGCTTGACCTCAGCTGACAGAGAACCTACAGCTTTCATAAAGTTTGGATTTTGTGGGAATTTTAGTGTCCCTTGTCATCCTGAACTTTTTTTCTTCTTCAATCCCGTTTTCTTTAATAAATCCACACTGCCACAAACTGCTCGTCTGGCTCTTGCTCTAACTCCCGCTCTAACTCCGCTCTGATCAGGAGCTCTGATTGGTCAGAGCGTGGCCGAGCCCCTCTGTGCGCGTGCATGAGAGCCACACACGCGTATTTGGCGCAACGCATCATGGGAGATCATCCACTGCGCAGAACCGGGAGGACCAGATGATGCCCAAATATAGCGAGAGTGATCTGGCGAGTTCCGCTACTATGTCAGCGACCATGCCGGCACTTGCGCCACTGAGCATAAACCATTCAGTTGAATACGGCGCCATCTTGGATCGCCGGGGCTTGATGCTAACCCGCTAGCTCAATTAAGCTTAATCCATCTTGCACTGGCTCCTATTAACTTACATGTAAAAGTAAACTCTCAGTGATCCTGTTTATATTGTGATATTGTCTTTGCAAATCCAGATATGAGCCATAATGATGGCTGCCTTCATGCGCGGAAGAATCTGAACTGCTGCGTGCCTTAGCAACTGCCTTGGCAACACGTCTGCCCATTTTATGGCTTGAACCTAACACCACGGAACAAATGCCCAAATAAGGAATTTGGCTCAAGCTATCTTATTGTTCGTCTAACACTATGGTGATTTCACAAGCAGTCCACTCCTTATATACAGTCTTTGGAAAAAGTGTGGATGGAATTGAACACAACTCCAGGTCCAAGAAGAACAGTTTAAACAATGAGGGGCCTCAAGATTGAAGGTGAGAGTTCAGATTTTCACCCATAACACTTAAATAAATAAATATTGAAACATATATATACACACATACACAGAGACACACACACTCTCACACACGTGGCCCTTCCCCCGGTCTCTTCTGCAGCCGTCACCTGTTTGTTTTGCTGACTTTTCGCTGACTCAGATCACAGAGGACTCACCGGAGTCTGAGCCACTTTACAGAAATCACATTTGATTCGACTTCAAATCCGGCAGTGTTAGGAGTAATGTGTTGAAAATAATGTAGTTACTATATTGTATTACTTTTTGCTGTAATTTAGTAATACAAGTATTGCATTACAAATCAAACAACTGGGTAATATTTACTTGGTACAAAAGGTCAGTAAAATGCGCTACATTGCATTTTAAAAGCGCCAAAAGTAGCCGCCTGGACTTTGCAAGAGAGCAGAGAAATGTTTTGTATGGCGTCTTCTTTCATGTCAAAAACCTCTTTACAGGATGGTCCAGAAGTTCATATTCCCCACATCTCAGAACACATTCACTCAAAACAAAAGGGCACTAATTCTGTCTTTTAAACATATCTACAGGTTTCTCCTTTAGTTAAAAGCTGGTGGTGTTAGTTTATGCTAGGTGACATCATAACCTGCTGCTTGCATACCGTAGCACAATTTTGACACAAATGTTAGCGTGATTTATCAGTTCAAGCTAAGGCAAAACCCCAGAAAAAGCAGTGAAAGACTTTGTTATGCAATAATCTGCAAAAACATACGTAAACAAAAGTACAGTAGTCCCTGGACCAGAGACAGAGACCAGAGTAAGGTCAGAGTGAGAGACCAGGGAGAGAGACCAGAGAGAAAGACTAGAAAGAGGCCAGGGAGAGAGAGACCAGTGAGAGAGACCAGAATAACACCACAGAGACAGACCAAAGAGAGACCAGAAAGAGAGACCAGAAAGGGACTCATACGTTTTATTTTGACTTTAGAAAGGTAACTGTTATACAAGTTGATGCCTTTGATGGCATTTATACCTTGCCTAGGGACTGGAAACTAGCTGTTAGCTAATACTGACACATTTACAGCAATGTTGATTAATGTGTATCCTCCCTATTCAAATAAACTATTAAAGGAAAGTGGTTATATGATGTTAGTTTAAATGAGGCACATGTGCACCTCTGTATTTTAAAATGTCAAAGGTGAAATATCATTGAGCTGTATTTCATGGCTGGAAAGTTGAAAGTCGAATCAAAAATAAAAACAGGCTGGCGTGTCTCAAAAATGGTCTGAATCGATTGGCCTTGTAACGTGTGCGGGGGCGGGGCCTGTGGGCAAGGCCTCTCCACACCTGCACACGCCCACACACAGTCGTTCTCACCTGGGATGACCGAGATGGTTTTGAGAGCGCGCAGTACTCTGAACGTCCTCAGAGCGGAGACATTTCCCAGGTCCACGAACTCTGTGACATATCTACAAGACGAGACAGAGGACAGAAGACAGAAGGGCGAGGACGTGAGGAGACGAGGAGGCGAGGAGGCGAGGAAGAAAGGAGCTGGCAACTAGGCACAAGGCTGCAGTTTGGGATTCACTCTATGACTTAAAGGACGATAAGATCAGGACTGAAATGATTTGTTGACCGTAAAGCATTCTAAGCACTCAGCCAATCAGCTTAAAAGTCAAATAGGGACTCAAAGGGGTCTCTTTTGCACAAAACATAACAAAATGTTTTGGTCTGATTTGTACGCAACCACAAATTCTCTGTAATTTACATCAGCTTGAGAGCCATTGACATTAGCATAGCATAGTTGTCAGTGCTAAACGTTAGCATTCCCTGATGGCTCATTCCCTCCCCTTCCTCGCCTCGGATTGCTCGCACTGTTACTGGGCAGAAGACAAACACAAATGACACACAGCAGGTGGCGGGCTCCGGGGCGGGTTCCTGAGCTGTGATTGGCTGAGACTTACCTGGGATCACTGAGATGGTTTTGAGAGCGCGTAAAACCCGGAAGGTGCGCAGGGCCTGAAGATTGCCCACTTTAATGAACTCTGTGAGCAGCCTACAGGGGGCGACACACACCCATGACACAAACAGCATCTGGCCCCTAATTTTTTAGAATGTACGTTTAACAACAGTATGTACATATAGTAAACCTCACTTGTCCTTGGTTTATCACAGGGGTTATGTGTTCTAAAAATAACCCACTATAAGCAAACAGGAATGAGGGCTACGAGAAGGCCTCTGAACTAACCAGAGGGAGAGAGACCAGAAGGAGACTAGAGGTAGACCAGAGAGAGAGACCAGTGAGAGAGACCAGTGAGAGACTCGAGAGAGAGACACCAGAGAGAGCCACAAAAGTTTTCTTCTGACTTTAAATAAAGGTTACTGTCATATGGTTATATGGTGTTGTTGTAAACACGCGGCACACTGGGAAAAAGCACAATTGCACAAACAAAACCATGTTAACCGCGTTACAGTGAGGGACGACTGCATCATGGTAACAAAACAAGCTTCAAATGTCTTTGCGACTTTGTAAATCGGTAACATTGTCTCAAAAACATAAGAAGAAAAATACAAACATGGAATAAGAGATGGCCAGGATGTGTGTTTAGACTGAATGGGCAGGGGATGTTACTGATATTAGAGTGTCTGGAGCTAAAGACAACTGCAGGACTGAACCAGGAGTGAACCAGGTCTAAACCAGGTCTGAAACTCTCTCTGGTCTCTGGTGTCTCCCTAGTCTCTGGTCTCTCTCTGGTCCTTGGTCTCTGATCTCTGTCAAGTCTCTGGTCTCTCTCTAGTGTCTCTCTAGTTTCTAGTCTCTCTCTGGTCCTTGGTTTCTCTCTGTTCTGTGGTCTCGATGACATCAATCCCTGTTCACAGTCAAATTGAATCAAATGAAACTGGATCCTAATGCACAGTGTGTCACATGATGGAGACAAGATGGCGTTTGACTCCTGATTGGGTCATATGTGGTGTCAGTGTGGCTCCTGAGTCCGAGGTCTGGAGTCCAAGATCTGAATCCGAGGTCTGAGTCCGAGGTCTGAGTCCGAGGTCTGAGGTCAGTGTTCAAGTCTGAGACCTGAGGACTGGATTAAAGAACAGTTGTAGCATCAGAAAACACATTGACATTTGTCACTTCCCCACTAAGCAAGCCGACGTTGAATCAACGTAATTTGAACGTCGTTGTCCGACGTAGAATATAGGTCACTGGTGGGTGCAGAATGAAAGTTTTCTCGACGTCGTTTCCCGACGTCACCTCAACCTCCAAATGTTACGTTGATGGCACGTCAATTCAAGGTTTGAATGTGGTACGGAATCGGTCGGGTCTGACGTCCTATCAACGTCTCAAATGACCAAAATATTGACGTTTATATGACGTTCGTTTTCAGTCGTTCCCACTAAGCAAGCAGATGTCAAAACAACGTAATTCCAACGTCATCTGGACGTTCATTCAAGGTTGCAATGTGGTACAGAACCGGTCGGGTCCGACGTCCTCTCGACGTCTTATATGACCAAAATATTGACGTTTATATGACGTCCATTTACAGTCCTATTGACCTCTGTAGAATGACTTAATAGTCGAGACATACTTTTTGCAATAGGCAAGGCAAGTTTATTTGTATAGCACAGTCAAAACAAAAGGAAACTCAAAGCACTGAACAAAAGATAGAAACAATCAAACAAGGCATTACAATTATAAATATTGACAGTAAATTAAAAAGATACAAATAAAATCTCTCAAAAAATCTCTCAGTTGAAGCAGAAACAGAAGTGTTTTAAACCTGGATTTTAACATTGTCAAAGAAGAAGCCTGTCTCACATTTCCAGGAAGACCGTTCCAGATTTTAGCCTTGTGAATCTGAAATGCAGCTATATCATGTTTAGTTCTGACTCTGGGCAATAAACGATAAACACAGCATTCAAAAATCATTAGAACAACTGTAGTAGAAGGATATCAGTCATTATTGCAAATGGAGCTGCATTAAAAATCATGTTTCTCTACATCAAAGTACAAGTTAATCCACACAGGGCACAGTGTTATGAACACTACTGTACTGAACAGTTCATGCCAAAGTAAAAAAACATGATTGTAGCGCCTATGTTTGGATCAGTATTAAAACAGGCACAAGCTACACTCTAGGTTCCCCAGATGTAAAAACACAATCTGAAAGGCAGAAGAATGCATTTATTGAATGTTGATGTTCCAACATGTGTCCTCTCTTGGTCTTCAGTCTCTCATCACAAGGTCCAAGCACAGCACCTGAAAATGTGGAACATGTTTAGTTTCAACATAATGTGGCAAAGTGATATAACAACACATAACTTTCTATTAATGCCTCAAACCACTCGATCCATCACCATGTGATACAAACCTTGGCACTGCACTAGCTCGAGACACTGGAAGACACTCCGTCTGAGAAACTTGGGATAAGGCTTTGGTCATTGGAGTAATTCCATGTAAAAAACAATTGCAAATGTGCATTTGTTTTGCACATGGACACAAATGAGCCCTGAAAGCTACTTACCCTGTATTACTCTACACATGTCGCATTTCCGAGCGGGCATTTTCCCCTTGTTGCTCTTTTCCCTCATCATGAGTGAGTTGCTGAACAATCTGAGAAAAAGATAGATGTTTTCAAAGAGAATACACCAAATAATGGTTTATTCTAAAAACAACATAATAATACAGAAGAACAATCAATGTGTGAGAGTGTGATTCTTACCTTTGAACACCTTCAACACAGTCTGACACCTGTAAGACTCAAACACACATGACACATTAGGAATACACACAGAACATTAGTTATTGCAACAATCATGAAATTATACTCTATGGATTTCACAAAAAATTGACTGCATTAGCAAAGGTAAATGTATTTTAATTATCATATGGCTGGTTTTAATGTTTATAAGAAAAAGTAAGAAATTGAATAGAGTTGCAAGCGCTAGTTAGCTTGCTACCAGCAGATGAATGGATATTTAATATTTGCAGCTAACAATAACAAAAATAACGACTGTAGTGGCTCATTTGAACAGCCACAGTGAGAAGAAGTGAAAGTCTCTGACATTGAAGACCTGGGAAGACATTAAATCCATTTATTAAACAAAGCAATACATGAACATTAAACTCTCTTTCTGCAGCAGGTAACATCTGTGTGCTCCTATGGTCCCACATGGTCCCACACCTGAACTCAACTCCAACTGATGACATCACAGGTGTCTAAATGATGGGAGTGTCCCAAATATTAAAGCTGATCTCCCTGTTTTTAAACTTAGTTTACTAAGTACTGTTGTCTTTTTGCAGTTTATAAACCATTGTGAAATATACAGTAACTTTACATTTTAGAATTGAATTATTATTTTAAAACTCAAGAATCTTAACCTTTTTTAACACATAGTTTGTTGGACAGTCTAACCTAAGAATTCTAATGTGTTAAAAATAGTTTGAAATATGAAAAACAATATCATATTTTAAACTTTAACTTAAAAACAAAAAATCATAGGAAAAAGATAACAGATAAGTAATTCCAGATTAAAAGAAGCCGTGCAGATTTGTACATTAGAATAAAAAATATTCAAAAGCAGCTGAGAACAGGTGGGTCTTTAACCTGGATGTAAACAAACTGAGTGTTTCAGCTGATCTGAGGCTTTCTGGGAGTTTGTTCCAGACATGTGGAGCATAGAAGCTGAATGCAGCTTCTCCGTGTCTGGTTCTGACTCTGGACTCGGATCCAGATGACATGAGGGGTTCTGGTTGGTTCATAAGTTATGAACAAGGCACTCAAACAACACTTTTGCACATGTTCGTTAAGGCACAGCAAACAGTGACAATCTTATCTAAAGGCATTAGGTTTTCACCCTCACATTTGAGAAGCATATGCACAGGTACAGTTGAATGTAAGAATTTGAATTTGTTGCGCACAACACCAATCACCCTCTCAACGTGAATTCTGAGATGGAAGGTCTAATCTGAGGCGCATTACAGTCAATAGGACAAGCTGGAAGGGTGAGAGCTTCCTCATCCTTCCTTGAGGCAGCTGCTGGGCCGGCGATGGGGGCTGCTGGGCTTGGGCTGGCGATGGAGGCTGCTGGGCTTGGGCTGGGAGTGATGACTGCTCCAGATGCTGGGTACTGCGCTTTACTTGCCGCTGATATCGCGCTCCATCTGTTTCTTTAACATTATTGTGGCCTAACCGCAAGGATGGTGTCCAGTCAGGGTGATTCTCCAACATCTCATATGATGGTTTACCTAGAACAGAATAATGTATGTAGTCAATGCTTTAAACTGGCAACAAGGTAGCATAATGTCATGAACAGAATCTCAACTATTTTTAGCAATCTCATATAATGGTTTACTTACATCAGATTAATAAGATTATTAAACAATCTGGAATCTAAAGAAATATTAAACAAGAAGGTAACGCTATTCATGGTTTCATAAAAGGGCTCAGGGGGTAGTGGAAACACAAGACAAAAAAAAAGTTTGGGCACCACTGGGTTAGAGAACATAAGAGACAGAGACAAACGCACTTTGAGTGCCCATATTCCACCAACAAGGTAGGATAATGAGCAGAAACTTAAATATTCTTAGTTAACATTAATGGTTGGCCATTAAGCATTTTCATAGAGGCAACAGTTTGTTAGATAGTTAGCTAGGCAGCTAACTTAAGATGCACTTCAGTGTTTGCAACATTAACAGCTAGGTAACCTACACTTCTTAACTTTAAAAAAACAACATAAAGACATTTTAGGACGTACCCGAGTGAAAATGCAGAGAACACACTCTCATCGACTGGGGGGTGAGATCGAAAGTAAGGTCCTTTCTTCTTATTGCAGCCAACCAAGCCATCCGGCGTCTCTTCGTCAGGTCAGACACCTGCGCTCCCTGATGTTGTATCCATTTTGGTAGCCTAAACAATTGTAAACCGTTGTTCCTACGTTTTCCTTTCTTATTGTGTGAGGTACTGGAGCAGTTTTTCACACAGCAATGAGCTCCAGGCATGGTAAAACAGAAATAGCGACGACCGCCTTTGCTACCGAGTTAACAACAACAAGTGTTTGCCGCTGGGATCCTACCAACATGGCGGAGACGGGGAGGGGCTCTGTGCTATGACGTCAGCTCCTCACTCTCAATAGATTCATGCACTGGCAATTCAAAATACAGATAATATACAAAATATACTTAACAAAATCCACGTATACGAGAGAAAACAACTTACTTTCTGTCTCCAACTCTTTTCAATGTGGAAATGATACATCTATATCTAAAAACTGTGCAGACTGTGTACTTACTAGAGAGGATGATTCCAAGTAAATAAAGCAGGGCAGCGACAGAGGTACAGATTCAACGTCATATCAACGTCTGGGAAGGCATTACTTTACGTCCAGATGCACACCTTACGTCGTTTAGACGTGGAAAACAGGTCCTTGACCGAGCGACTCACGTGTCAGGCTGTAAAGCCTAAGTTATACTCGCGCGGCGCATAAGTGTGCGTCGGTTGTTTAGGGTGTTATGTATTATTTTGTCACAGTAGTCTGGATAAATGCCTGGCCGTGGTGTAGTGGTTGCGTAATGAGACTTCAGTCGCAACGACGCAGGTTCAAATCCCCGTCGGAAAACTTTTGACTTTTTACTTTTTAGCGAACAATTTTTCTGTTTGGTTAAAAACGAATAAACACTCAACATAAGATTATGTAGTGGCTAATAATAAAACTTGTGAACCCATGCATTTGCATACAATCTCAAGTGCTCACCCCTTATTTGCAAACTTGAGATTGTTAGCACAACAAATGCATACATTCACAAGTTTTATTATTAGCCACTACGTAATCCTATGTTGAGTGTTTATTAGTCTTTAACCAAACAGAAAAAAATTGTTCGTTAAAAATCAAAACAAATATGTAAAGATAATAATACACACACATGGGCTCGAACCCACGTAACCAAGACTGCACACATTTGCTTAACCACTACACTACCGTCAGGTACACTGAGATCGCTTCACAGCCTATATATTCTATTGCTAGATCAAGACGTACTGCGTCGGTCAGCCGATGACCTGTTTTCGACGTCTAAGGGAGGTCGGGATTGAACGTCATATCCACGTATATGGGAGGTCATTGTTTTACGTCCAGATGCGCACCTTGCACAGACGTCGTTTGGACGTAAATAAAAGGTCACGACCGACCGACGCGATATTGACGTGATCTGGAGGTTGAGTGGACGTCGGATGTTTAGTGGGTCTGCTCATTCTGGTCGTCTCTTATTCCATTATAAGGTCTAAACCAGGAATGAACCAGGACCGAACCAGGTCTGAACCAGGACTGAACCAGGTCTGAACCAGGTCAGAATCAGGTCTAAACCTGGTTTAAGCCAGGACTGAACCAGCTCTGAACCAGGATTGAACCAGGTCTAAACCAGGACTGAACCGGGTTAAAAATCAGGTCTGAACCAGGACCGAACCATGTCAAACTAATGTAGGTCTGAACCATGACTGAACCTGGTTCTAACCAGGATTGAGCCAGGTGCAATCCAGGGCGTGGTCAGGACTCACGCCATGCTGATGACGCTGAAGTCGAGCCAGTTCCAGGGGTCTCTGAGGAAGGTGAATGGTCCCACGCAGAAACCACGAGCGAGGATCTTTATGAGGGACTCAAATGTGTAGATCCCCGTAAAGGTGTACCTGAAAACACAAAGACCATAGAGAAACCAGAAAGAGACCAGAGAGGGTCCAGAGGGAAACAAACACAGAAATTAGATGCAGTAGTAATAGTAATAGCAGTGGCAGTAGTAGTAATACTCACTCCAGGTACTTGGTCCAGTAGGCAGGGTCAGACATGGCCATGAAGCAACAGTTTGTCAGAATCGTGCACATGATGAAGAGGTTGAAGAGAGTGGACTGGGGTCAAGGAACACACACACAAACATAGACACACACATGCACAAAGACACACTTCTCCCATTTCATCACACCATGTGGGTGAAGTGTCCTGCCTAAGGACACAACCACAGTTCAGCACTTTACAGCACAACAGGTCTTTGGTCTCTCTCTGGTCTCTCTCTGGTCTTTGGTCATGGTCTACAGCAGGTCTTTTGATTCTCTCTGGTCTGAACCTGGTGTACATCATGTCTTTGGTCTAAATCTGGTCTACAGCAGGTCTTTCCCAGGTCTGTAAGCAGCAGTACGGGGGTGGGGTTCTGCTGGGATAATGACAGGTGTACGGAGGCCTGAGAGGGACAAGACTGTAATTACTCCCACAGCTGTCACTCACACAGCAAGGAGCCAAGGAGAGAGAAGAGGAGAGAGGAGGTGAGGAGAGCAGGAGGAACGAGGAGAGGATAGTGGAGGAGAGGAGAGAGGAGAGGTTTAGACATGGTTTAGACCTGTTGTAATCCTGTTGTAGTCCTAGTATAGACCTGGTTTAGACATGGTTTAGATCCAGTTTAGACCTGGTGTTGTCCTGGCTTAGACCTAATTACGACCTGGTTTAGACCTGGTTTGGACCTGGTTTAGACTTGGTTTAGTCCTGGTCTTTGTGTCTCTTATCTCTGCTTTCACACCTGCGTCACATGACCGCCCTGGTCCAATCAGAAGCTGTTCAGTGGCGGTGGCGCCGGGCTGTCGGCCAATCATGTGTCAGTCTGAGAGGCTCTTAAAGCACCTACTGGGCACACGTCAGCGCCTGCACACACACACGCACAGAGAGAGACACACAAACATACACACACTATATACACACACACACATTGAGCTAGCAGGTTAGCAACCGATGCTCTCAGTTTAACCCATTGAGTTAGCTCTAATCCTCCTCCACCCTATGGTTTTTCCTGATATGTTTATTTTCGCTTGTTTTGAAATATACTTTAGTAAGGTATTATATCATCTTGGTTTCGGGTCTTAGTCTGGATCTAAGATCAGGTTAGGGTCTGGGTCTGGCTCGTGTGGACAGGCCCAATGCCACACTTCAGCACTTAGACACCCTGAGCCTGACAGCAGCAGATATGACACACACAGACACACACCTACACACACACAGACACACACCTACACACACACACGCGCACACACACACACACACACACAGTTTTAGACCTGCTTCAGACCTCCTCTAGACCTACTTAAGACCTGCTTTAGACCCAGACTTTTACGCAAAGGATATGAGTGCACCAGGATGCGGATTGCCAGGCGTCTGACCGGGTGGAAGGGGCTGAATAGGAACAGGGCAGATGTGGCACTGAAGCGGGAGATGGCTTTGCCCTTGTTCAGGACGATGAAGGTCTACAACACGATAACAAAGATTAGTCCTGGATCTACAGCCTCAGTCCTGGGTCTACAGCCTCAGTCCTGGATCTAAAGCCTCAGTCCTGGGTCTACAGCCTCAGTCCTGGGTCTACAGCCTCAGTCCTGGATCTAAAGCCTCAGTCCTGGGTCTACAGCCTCAGTCCTGGGTCTACAGCCTCAGTCCTGGATCTAAAGCCTCAGTCCTGGGTCTACAGCCTCAGTCCTGGGTCTAAAAGCAGACACGCAGATAATGCAAACATGCCAGCTTAATGAAGCCCGATAGGGAAGTGCTCATGGACGAAGTTCTGCCAATAGCTGTTAGTCGTTAGCAGAATACTCTTCAGGGTTCAGTCGCTCACGTTCCAAATTAAAGCAGTTTACATTTGTCCAGCCCAAAATCACACCAGTCGTAAAATTGCTGATTTTTCTAACAAAATATCAGACACTCAGCAAGTCACTGGTCAAAAAGACCAGAACCAGGACCCGAACTGAGACGAGAACTAAGACCAGGAAGAGGACCAGACCATCTCACCCGCTGGTCCCTGTAGTACTGGTCAATGTCCTCCAGGGGCACTCCTTTCAGATGAGCAGGGATCTCGGAGAAGATCCGGGGAAGGGTCTTTCCGGCCTCCAGGTCCGGTCGAGGTTGGAGCTCCTCCACTTCCCCCAGGTCCTAAAGAGAGTAGAGTTACACACACTCCTCCTCCTCACCTTCTCCCCCCTCACCTTCTGGTACAGTCCCTCCTCCACCTCCCCCCTTCCTTCTCCTCCTCCTCGCCCCCTTACCTCCTGGTACAACCTCACCTCCTCCCTGTACTCCTTACCTGCAGGTGCAGCCTCTCCACCTCCTCTTCACCTCCTAGTACAGCCTCTCCACCTCCTCCTCCTCACCTCCTAGTACAGCCTCTCCACCTCCTCCTCCTCCCTCTCCTCCTCCTCACCTCCTGGTACAGCCTCTTCTTCTCCTCCTGCAGTCGGAGTCGCTCCTCGATGGCCTGCAGTGATTCCCTGGTGAACAGCTGGAAGCTCTCCGGTCCCAGTGGAAACACACAGGCGGTAGCCATCTTCTCATCATCCTGCAGCTGCAACACACACACCCAGGTGATCTCACCACCCCTTTCCTCACACACACACACCCAGGTGATCACAACTCTAATAAAACTAGCTTTACTGTTGTACATGTGTGAGTCTGTAAACACAGGCTCCATGAGGATTAGTGCTAGCGCAGCCTGAGTAGGAATCTTGATCCAAATTTGTGGATGGCAACGACCTAGCAACTGAAGAGCCAATCATGACCGGATTGGTCAATCCTTGTGACTCGTATGTGGCCAATAATGATGTCTAATAAGCTAAGGGGTTGTTTTTTACTCTTATTGTATTGTCGCTATTGCTGATTCTGGTTAAACTTGGGGTAAAGGTGAACAGTTGTAGACCATCTCCACCTCCAGAAAGTCTTCTAGTCATTCTGTATAAATATTCAACCACAAATTGTTACTATTGGTTTAGTTCTTTCTTGTTTTACAATACTGTATACTGTACACAGTACTGTGACACCTCAAAGGTACAGTACTATGTACTTACTGTATTGTATGTTTCACAAAACTACAATTTTTCTAAATGTGCATGTGATAGGGTAAAGTACTGAAAATACTGTAGATACAGTCTGCAGTATAGTTACAGTACAGTAGAGTTGAAGACATGTTTCCATCTGAAGGTCCCGATGATGAAACTGTGGCTGGACTCTCTGTTCCCCTCCGTGCGAGGCCATGATTTATCTCATGATCCACCGCAGTTTCTCTAATGTCATCAGAAATATAGTTTTATACATGGTCTCTTCAACCATGTCCTCCTCCTCTCTCTTTGTCTTCCTCTTCCTCTTCCTGCTTCCAGACTTGCAAAGTTCTGAAAATGGCCAAACTGAGGCCTGTTTGTGTGAGGCTGATGTGTGTCGCGTTTTGTAAGTATGTGTTTCAAGTGTGTGTCTCAATGTTTTTAATCTTATGAATAGATATGTTTCCTACCTTTGTACCGAGTAAATATTACCCCATTTTTGATCTGTAATGCCTTACACTACTGTGTTACAGCAAACTGTAATACATTACAGTAATTACATTACTTTTGTAGTACATTACTCCCAACACTGGTTTGCAGTGTGTGTGTGTGTGTGTGTGTGTGTGTGTGTGTGTGTGAGGAGCAGTTGTCTTGGACGCTGCAGTCGTGTGAATCCAGGTTTAAGAAAAGTGTGAATTTTGAGTTTTTCAGGCGTTAAATTATACAGCGAGAAAATCCTGTTGTGGACAGAGAGACGAGAGAGATGAGAGAGAGAGGGAAGGAGAGAGCGAGAGAGGGATGAGAGAGAGAGAGAGAGAGGGACAAGAGAGAGATGAGAGAGAGAGGGATGAGAGAGAGAGAGGGACAAGAGAGAGATGAGAGAGAGAGAGAGAGGGACAAGAGAGAGATGAGAGAGAGAGAGAGAGGGACAAGAGAGGAATGAGAGAGAGAGGGACAAGAGAGAGATGAGAGAGAGGGACAAGAGAGGGATGAGAGAGAGAGAGGGACAAGAGAGGGATGAGAGAGAGAGGGACAAGAGAGAGATGAGAGAGAGAGAGGGACAAGAGAGGGATGAGAGAGAGAGAGGGACAAGAGAGAGATGAGAGAGAGAGGGACAAGAGAGAGAGAGAGAGAGACGAGAGAGAAAGCCCACAAAGTCTCAGGAATCTACTCTTTGGTCTGTCCCACCCCTTCTGTTCAAATGCTTTGTTTTCCAATGTGTTGAACTGTGACATATTTAGACCTGGTTCAGACCTGGTTCAGACCTGGCTCAGTAGTTTTACAGCAGTAGTATTACAGCAGTATTATTGTCGTAGTGAAAGTTTGTTTGTGAAACCGGAGCAGCGTCAGGAATAGAATGACTTCTCCCCAGCTCCTGCTTCAGCTTTGTGTTCATAATCTGGACCCACATGATCCAGACGCACATGGTCCATACCCACATGGTCCATACCCACATGGTACACACCCACATAGTCTAAACCCACATGATAGAGACCCACATGGCAGAGATCCACATGATCCAGACCTACATGGTACAGACACAGATGGTCCAGATCCACATAGTCCGAACCCACACAGTCCAAACCCACATGATCCAGACCCACATGGTACAGACCCACATAGTTCAAACCCACATGATCCAGACCCACATGGTACAAAGCCACATAGACCAGACCCACATAGTCAAACCCACACGATCTAGACCCACATAATCCAAATCCACATGATCCAGACCCACATGGTCCAGTTTGACCTCTGACCTTTGTGGAACAGTCACATGACGTCTGTGGTCTGCAGGGTTTACACATCTAGAGACAGAAAGTTGTTTCTGTTCGTCTTTACTCTGTCAATTAGATAAGACTCAGGTCTTTACTTGGTCTCAGGTCTAGACCCTGCCCTGGACTTGGATTTGAGGCTCTTATCCTGATGGAAAGAAAATCTGACCTTTCCTGTCCCTGCTGAAGAAAAGCAGCCCTACAGCTTGATGCTACCCCCCTCTCCAAATCTGACACTGGAGATGGAAAGAGACCAGAAAAGGTCCAGAGAGAGACCAGAGATACCAGCAAGAGATCAGAGGGAGAGATCAGAGAGAGACCAGAGAGAGACCAGAGAGGGACAAGATAGAGACCAGAAAGAGACCAGAGAGAGACCAGTGAGAAACCACAGAGAGACCAGAGAGAGACCAGAGAGAGACCAGTGAGAGACCAGATAGAGACCAGTGAGAGACCAGCGAGAGACCAGAGAGAGACCAGAGAAGGACAAGATAGAGACCAGAAAGAGACCAAAAAGAGACCGGAAAGAGACCAGCGAGAGACCAGAGAGAAACCAGAGAGACCAGTGAGAGACCAGAGAAAGACCAGATAAAAGACCAGAGAGATTTCCACTGAAAAATATTCAACAAAAACTCAAAATCAAGTTGCTGTTTCATGTGTTGTTGTTTTTCTCATCAAGTGAGTCGTCTGTGGTCGTTAAAAGTGTTTTGATCAATACATTTATGTTTCATCGACGTTAACCCTAGTGACCTGTGACCTCTGCGTCCATCCAATTGTCCTTTACACAACGACATTGTCAGTCCTGCTTTTGTCCTGCTATAGACTTGCTGTAGTCCTTCTTTCGACCTGCTTTAGTCCTGCTTTAGACCTTGTTCAAATCTGCTTCCGACCTGCTTTGGACCCGGAACAGTCCAGGAGTCACCTTTGGTTTTGGTTTCTCTGTGACATCACCGGGTCTACGCTCTGACACACTTTCACACATGAAATATTCACGCGCTCTTTTCCTTTCGTCACAGAACGACAGCGAGAGTGTAAGGACCAGGGAGAGTCCGAACCGTGGACCAGAACCGGGACTGGGACTGGGACTAGGACCGGGTCCAGGACCAGGACCGTGGCTAGGACTGGGGCTGGGAATGGGGCTTGGACTGGGGCTGGGACTGGGACTGGGGCTAGGACTGGAACTGGGGCTGGAACTGAGACTGGGGCTGAAAGAGAGAGCTGAGGGTGGTCCTCTCTGTTTCACTTTTTGTTGTTGAAGCTCAGGACATAAATCATGAGCAGAAACAGATTTGGGTCAACCCAGGTCTGAACCAGGACCAACACAGGTGGAGCTCAGAGAAGAGCTGCTTTTCCCTAAGAGATAGAGGGAGGAGCTAAGTCACACGGGAGGAGCTCAGACTAGAGCCGCTGCTCCTCTACGTGGAGAGGAGGCAGTTGAGGTGGCTTGGGCATCTGTTGCCTCCTGGACGCCTCCCTGGGGAGGTGTTCTCCCACCAGGAGGAGCAGGGTAAGACCCAGGACACAGAGGGACTGTGACTCTCGGCTGCGGAGGTGAGACGCGGAAGTGACTGAGTGTTTTATTCATGAGACACATTTATAATTCAACACAAACACAAGAAACACACAAAACACAAGGACACAGAGCCTCAGTGCGTCTGTGTTTAAAGCTGGGCTACGCAACTTTAGCCTCATAAATAACACATACTTTGAACATACTTAATGCAGAATATTGTGAACAAATTAGACAACACGTAATTGTCTTCTATTGTGTAAGAAAGAGCCCTGCGAGTCACTGTTTGACTCTTTGGGCTGAGAGCTGATTGGCTGAGTGAGGGTGGTCCTCTCTTTTTCACTTTTCTGTCTGCAAATACTAATTTAAAGAAGAGGCCAATGGATCTATAATAATAACTGGAAAGGGTATTACTAGCTTATAGCTGTCTCACCCATGGGCACAGGGGGCGCCCGTGGTACTGCAGACTACATTCACGAGGGCTACCCAGAAAAAAGTCCCATAGAACTCAATGTAAACTAAAACAGACGGATACGTAGTACGTTTATGCAGCCGGTGGAGTCGGGGCCTTAGACTGTAGTCTGTTCATTGCTACTCACCCACTGTCTGTTTTATGGTCTGATTATGGGACCCCTGAACCCGGTAAAGAGACAAATAGACCTTGGCAGGAATACTGCATGACGAATGCGGAAGGGAGTTGAATAGAAATGATGAGCTTGTGCCCGCCTGGGGCCCGGGCTGTGGTGGTGAAGAGATTACATGATACTCCAATGAAGAGGCTGTGATTCATTTGTTTTTCTTTAAATACAAACAAAGCATTTCTCCTTTTACTCTGGACCAGAGCAGAGAAACTGG